TATGCAGTGAATCTTTGTTTATTTGGCTTTTTTTCCCCCTTATGGATTACTTGTTCAGAATCCATTCTAAGAGGTAGGATCAAAAGTCAAAAGCCTAGATATGAGGAGGCTTTTATTTCCTCTAGTGACAGAGGGACTCTGAAGTTTCCACCCACAGGCTCCCACCTTTTCCATTGAGATAGATATTTCTCCATCAGCAATGTATCTAGCCACTGCAGGTACCCCCGCTAGAATGCTGGGACAAGCTCAGGGACTTGACTTAACTCATACAACCTTGTTATATGTTACATATAATTCTCTACAAGGAGTATCACCAACACTTTCAGAGTATAAAAAGTTCACTGAAGAAACAACTCATGATCAAGTAGTGACATTTAAAGAGTTCTGTGCCCCTTTAATAAGTGTAAATAGTCCTCATTTTTGTCTTAATTTGCATTTTTTTTTATACCACTAGTGAGGTTGAACTCCTTTCCATGTATTTGTTTACTGGTTATTTCCTCTTGGAAGAAGCATTTCTTTCCCCAGCTCATTTTGTATGGGCATTTTACGGAACATCGATTTTAAGTTTTTTTCATTAACACTAGTGATATTTTCTAGTTTCCTTTTCCTCTTTATTGTAATTCTAAAGTTTATGTTAATGAGTTATATTCACCTTCAGTTCTCACAGAATTGTGTCAGAAAACTTTGGATACTGGTTTTTGTTCAAAGGGCAGATACAAATCACTGATATGCACGTTTCCAAAGACAACAATAGAAAAATATCAAGTGTTTGCATTTTCATAATACGCCAGGTATGAAGAATAGAAATGTTTTTGTCAATGCTAAATTTACATGATTAACTCTTTTTTTTTTTTTTTTGCATCGTATAGAAGGAACAATCAATTAAAATAGATTAGTACTTTGGGGAACCTCCAGGTAGATCATGGGGTTAGAGCCTTTGGAATGTGGAGAGACAGGAGCTGGGCTTTCTTGGGATGGTATAAGATAAAGGCATGTGGTGCAGGATGGACATATGCAGGAAGACTGGAAATCAATGAGGTAAGAGAATTTTTTCCTTTCTCTCTTCTTTCCCATTTACTTCTCCTTATCCCTTTCTTATCACTACATCTTACTTCCTTAGGAAGTTGCTTGCAATTATTTTTAATGTCTTGCTTCCTTTCTCTTCTTTCTGCTCATTCCTTCCCAACTCTTTTTTTTTTCTTTTCTCTTTTGATGGCAGTATAACACAATTATACTAGGGTCAGACAATCTGGGTCCAGGCCCTACCATTTCATATTGTTTGACTTTTTCCAGGTTACACTCTCTGAGCCTTAGTTTATTCATCTGTAAAATGGAACAATAATAATACTTTCTAGAAGGCTGGTATGAGACAAAAGAAGAAAATATTTGAGTGCTTAGCACAGTATGGTAGACTACTTTATTGTTTACAAATACTTGATGTTCCTCCCTTGGGGAGCATTAGACTTCCCAATCCCACTGATGTCAGCCTAGGTCATGAGACTTGACTAAACCAATGAAATATGAATGGAGGTAATACAGGACATTTTGGGGAATAAGATTTAAGAGCCAGTAGGCCATTTGCTGTATTTCCCTTTTCCTTCTACCATAATGACCTGCAACGTTCCAGACAGCTGTTGCTCCATTCTTCAAAGTCTCATAATAAAGAAAATACAGACTAAAGTCAGAGCCAGCACACAATAAAGATCTAAAATATCAAGAAAGAAACCTTTGTTGTTATAAGTCATAAGTCGCTGAGCTTTGGGGATTGCTTGTTATTACAGCAAACCTAGGCTATACTGTCTAATGAACACAATATATGGCATATTGAAAGCACTTAATATTCTATGCTAATATTATTCATGATTATTCTATTTTCTCCTTTTTAATTCTGCTACTATAAATTCTAACTCTGCCTCATGGGATGAAGTAAAAATTTAGGAAAGAAGTAGGTCAGAAGCTTTGAAGAGTTTTATTCCACGTGGTGGTAGGACCAGCCCTGGGAAGAAGTCATATTTAGCAGGCATAGGAAAGAAAAGAGAGTTCCTGAAGATTCCATTATTTATCTGTAACTAATATATGAAAGTTTGACTGGCTTTTTCTGAACATTCACATAACACAAATATGTAACATGGAATATATTTCTGCTTTACATCTACTATCCCTGGAGAAAGAGGATGAATGAATACATACTAAGTTATGAAATGGGTCATAATTAATGTGAAATATATAGAAATGTATTATTTATGAATGCATAAATAAGCACTATTTGCTGAAGTCCTAAAAGCCAAAACCTTTAGAGTCCTTAGGAATATTAGCTCTGGCTTAATTCAAACAGAATAATCAACCCTTGATGTCAGGGGTACTAGTTAAACTATTTTTCATGGTTCCTGAAACTCTTAAAATCTAAATATTTCCAGCATTTTTCAGTGGATTTGCTCCTTTCAAAATTCTCCTCAGATTGTGTAAGATAAAATTTGTGAATATTGCAGTACTTCAGCCTCTTTTCAAAAGTTACTGACTTCTGTTTCTAATCACGATAGAGTAACTGGATCTAGACATACCTTCCCACTCTAAGCAAAATGTATGAACAATTGTTGGTAGTAATTGAACAACAAAATGTAGTTCAGTGCTCTGAGCCCTGAGAGAAGGGAGAAAAATGAGATGAGTCCTGAAATACTACTAGCTTTCTGCTTAGGATACTTTTCATATGATGGTGTGGCATGGCCAAGCAGAGTGTGGCAGTCTTGCCAAGTTGAAGAGGTTAGAAATTCAGAAGGTGGAAACAGCTGGGATTGTAATAGCAGAGTTGCAGGAGGGAGAATTGTATTTAAAAAAAAGAGAAAGCTTCAGAAAATTGAGTAGGGGTAGGGCTGCCCTTGAGATCGTTGCTGAGTAAGTCACCATGAAGACATAGGGGGAAATTCCAAAGAAGCTTCATTACAAAATGACTGGGGAGTTGTAAACCAAACAATTCACAGTGTACTGTTCTCACAGGCCTGGAAGTCATCTGACTTCTTTCCAGCTGGAGAGTATGGCCTTAATGACATCAAATAGCATAGCTTCAAAGTGAAAACATCAAGTGAAAACTAATAGAACTGTGAGGAAAAATAGACAAATCAACAATTATAGTCAGAGGTTTCAATATTTCTCTCTCAATAATTGACAGAACCAGTAGACAAAAAATCAGTAAAGACGGAGAATTGAACAATGCTACCAAACAACTTGATCTAATTGACATTTGTTGTCTGCTCTACCAAACAATAGCAGAATACACATTGTCTTTAAATACATACAGAACAGTCATCAAGATAAGACCATGTTCTGAGCCATTAAACAAGTGTCAATAAATTGAAATCATTCAGAGTATATTATCTGACCCACAAGGGAATTTAATTAGGAATCAAAAATAGATATCTGAGGAATTCCTAATTATTTGGAAATTACACACTTCTAAATAATTTATGCAGCAGAAAAGAAACACAAGAGAAATTAGGAAACATCTTGAAAAGAATAAAAAATAAAAATATGACATATAAAAATTTATGTGATGCAGCAAAAGCAGTGCTTAGAGGGAGATTTATAGCTCTAAATGCTTATATTAGAAAATAAGAAAGGTCTGAAATCAACAATCAAAGCTTTCAACTTAACGGATGATTAAAAAGAGGAATTAAAACAAAGTAAGTAGAAAGAAGAAAATAATAAGGATAAGAGGAGAAATCAACAAAATAGAACACAAAAGATAAAAATCAATGAAATCAAAAGCTGGTTCTTGGAAAAGATCAATAAAACTGTTAAGTCTCCAGCTAGACTGATCAAAAATTTTAAAAAAAACCAACATTAGGAGTTAAAGAGGGAACATTACTACAGATTATATAAATACTAAAAGCATAAGAATGGAATATGAACACCTCTGATAATAAATTTGACAACTTAAATGAAATGAACAAATTCCTTCAAAGACATAAAAACCAAACCTGATTCAAGAAGAAATAAAAACCTTATTAACTTCACATTTATTAAAGAAACTGAAGTTCTAATCCGGGTTTTGCTGCAGGCCCAGATGACTTTAAGTGGTGAATTTCAACAAACTCTTAAGGAAAAAAATGGTATCAATTCTTTACAAAATTGAGGGGGCACATTTCCCAAGCCATTTTGTGATGCCACCACTACTGTGATATCAAAACCTGATAAAGACATTACAAAAAAAGGAAACCACTGACTAATATTTCTCATGGACATAGATTCGAAAATCTTCAATAGATATTAGCAAATCATATGCAGCAGTATTTAAAAGGATACTGTATCATTATCCAGTGAAATCTCAGGAAAATGAAGTTGATTTGAAATTCAAACATGATCAATGTAATTCACAATTTAACAGAAAAAAAGGAAAACACCATATGATCATCTCAATAGATACAGAAAAAGCATTTGATACATGCTTCGTTTATGAGTCTCTTAGCATATCAAGAACAGAAGGGAACTTCCTTAACACTGTAAGGACATTTGCAAAAGTCTACAACTAACCACATACTTAATCGTAAAAGACTAGATGAGAAAACATGGGAGAAAATCTTTGTGAACTTGGGATAGGCAAAAGTTTCTTAGAACAAAAATAAGGACAAATAGGGAATGATAAATTGGACTTCATAAAATGAAAACCCTCTGTTCTCAAAAAGACAAAATTAAGGAAATGAGCAGACAAGCCACAAACTGGGAGAACATATTTGCAAAATACATGCTCGACAAAAGACTGACTCCAGAATATATTTTTAAAAACTCTCAATAGTAAGTAGTTAACTCCATAAGAAGAAGATAAAATAATCTCACGAAACAACGGGCAAATGATTTGAAAATAAGATATATGAATTTTGTGTAAACACAAGACAAGCTGCTCACTATTTATCTTCAAGGAAGTAGAAATTAAAACCACAATGTGTCACCGCTACATATTCATTAGACATTAGAAAGGCCAAAATTAAGAAGACTGAAATACTCACTGTTGGCAAGGACATGGATCATCAGAACGCTCATACATTGCTGGTGGGACCATAAAACACTACAACTCCTTTGGAAAATAATTTTGCAGTTTCTGAAAAAGTTAAACACATGCTTACTATATAACCCCCCAATCTCATTTATAGGTGTTTATACAAAATAAAACATACAACTGCATATATTCTTACATGAATGCTTATGGCAGCTTTATCTATAGTAGTCAAAGATGCAAACAACCCAAGGGTTCATCAATAGATGAACTGATAAACAAATTGAGACCTATACATACAGTAGTATATTACTGTTATTAAAAGAAACTACTAACACATGTAACAACATCAATGATCTAAAAAAAAAGTATACTGAGCAAAAGAAGCTAGATGGAAAAAAAAAAAAAAAGAGTACTGTATGAATGAATTTACATGAAATTCTAGGAAGGAAAATCTATCTAATCTATAGTTAAGCAATTTAGTGGTTGCCTAAAACTAAGGGTTGTGGGTCAGGGAGCATGGACTGCAAAAGGGTGCAAGGGAACATTTTAAGGTGATGAAAATGTGCTATTTATTGTGGTTATAGTATCACTGTAGTCACTTGTTAAAATTCATTGAACCATAGCTTAAATTGGATGCATTTTATTGTATGTCAGTTATACCTCAGTTAAAAAAATTTTTTTTTTTAAGTTTCACACAGTGGTTAAGTGTACATACTCTGATTCTGTCAGCCTGGATTGGAAACCCAGGTCCAACTGTTATTAGCTGTGTGACCTTGAGAAGTTACTTAACCTCCCTTTGCCACAATTTCATCACTTGTATCATCAGGATAATAATAATAGTACCTGCCTCATGGGTTTGTTGTAAAAATTAAATGAATTAATATAACTAAAGTGCTTAGATAGAAAGTGTTAATATTGTTACAGGTGTTTTAGTTGGTCAACTGGCTTCCAGAGGCACCAGTATCTGAAAATGGGCCACTCTTTCCATTGTTTATTCTTTTAATCTCACATTGTTCACATTGCTCATCTCTAGTTTCTAGCAGAGGGTTACACACATGGTAGATACTTGATATTTGTTTAGTGGATGAATTATTTATTAGTGAATAAACATTTATTCAACATATTGCATAAAAAATGTACCTGGTGATAGAGTTTCTGCTTGGGGTAATGGAAAGGTTTAGGAAATGGTGATGATTGCATAACATTGTGAATGTTACTAATGCCACTGAATTGTATACTTAGAGTGATTAAAATGGCACATTTTGTTATAGATATTTTGTCATAATGAAATAAAAAGTTTATATATAACTAAATGGGAAAAAAACCCTACAACTTTGTATTACAGCTTTGCAGAGTTTATAACCTCAAAAGAGTCAATATACTTGTTTCATCTTGTCTATGGCTAAAATATGCAGGAAAATGACATTCATTTGTAAAGTTCTTTAAAGTCTTAAGATGGGGGATGTTTGTGAACATCTCAACAGGAAAAATAAGTGAAATTTGGATCTATCGTGAGACACATTAAGTACCAGGAATGCTTGATCTATCAAGCATTTGTCTAGTAAGATAAAATTGCCACCAACTCCCACACAGAAGCTATAAAAATATAGAAGATTCTGCACCTGTTGGCAAAATTATGAATTGAAATATCTTGAGTTCTGGTGTTAAGTTGCTCAATAACTATGATTAACACCCTTCATCTGCAGAACTTACATAACACGATTTGCCTGCATATCATGAATACCTCTACAGAAACACTGATTTTGTTAATAATGGTCAGTGTTTAGAAAATGTTCTCAAAGTGGCAGCTTGAAAAATATCATTAGTTTGATTATTTCAGACCCATTTAAAGCATATGGATGAGTGTTCATCTTATGTATATAAAATATTTACATATTCTTTTTTTCTTGATGAAAATTACTTCTTGAGAATCCATGCTGCCTAAAATGATTAAAATTACATATACATGTTCAAAGGAAGAACAAAGGGCTTTAGTGTTTTAATTAGTTTGGACTAGTGTGTAGTGTTATTTCGTACCATTAAGGCAGGATAAAAAGATATCCAATAGTTTCACTAAAAAGGAGAGTTTTGTTCATTTATTTCTCTTCCATTTCTCTGTTTACTGCTGCATGACAAGTAGAGAAAAAAGGAAGCGTGTTAGATTCCATGGTGGTGTCTGCTATATATCTTGGCTCAGGTAGACTATCAAAACCTTGATTAACTCATTTTCAAAATACCACTATGATAGAAGTTTCTCTCCCTGAAGGAAAAATTTCTCTTTCTCAAGGAAACCAATTCACTTTTAGTTACTAATCTGCAAAAACACATAGGGAGACTTTCATGAAGAAAAAAAGGTACATATGGTAAATGAACCATATGTATTATTTTCTTTATAAAATATACAGGCTAAAGCTTTGAATGAAACACAAGGTGGGGGGTGGCAAGATATTTTAAATATTTCAAAAACCTCAGTAAAAATTTTATTGACATTAAAACAAAAGTACCTGATCTTGCTTTTGGCTTGCATTGTTACGTTGATTAAATGCCCTAATTAGGGATTAGATATGTCTAATTGGGGATTACATATGATTTAAGGTGAAAAATAATTATCGCATGGTAAATATATTTTGTTTAGCAGGCAAATGTTTTCAAAAATATGAGGTTCTTGTGGGAAAAGCATAATTAACAAATCCTTAGTGATGAAAATGTTGGAAACCACTAGCCTGTACTAATCATTTGGCAATTAATTGTCTTCTCTACTGATGCTGTCAGTATTTATTATTTATTTATGATTTATATCTTAACTTCTGCTGAAAGTATTTACATTGTCTCACACTGCATATTGTTCTTTCAATATTTTGATTATTTTTTAATCTGCCCTATGAAATAATAGAATCTTTAAGGAAAAGGAGTATGGTCTTAGATATCTGTAAGAACATTCTGTTTTTCTAACAGGCAGTTTCTGGCACTTCATGAGTGGTTTCCCTTTGACCTCCTCACTGACCAATGGGTTATTGTAGAATTTTCCTGTTAGATCCATTTGTTGCATTTATTCAACAAATAGTTACTGAGAGCCTACTATGTATCAATTGCTGTACCAAATGTTAAGTTATTAAGTGTAGTTAGGCAAAGGAGATGTATATACGAAGTAGGCTGAGAGTGTTCAAGGAAAAGGGAACAATTTACGCAAAACCTTGAAGCAGGAAAGAACTGGGCTAGCCCCAGGAACTGAAAGGACATCAGGTTTAAGCTCTGTGGGCAAAGAAGAGAACGGAATGAGATGAGCTTCAAGAGACTAGCAAAAGCCAAATCATGTGTGGCCTTGTGGGCCACAGCAAGTTCTTAAATGTTTACTCTCTGGCTGTTCTCAGTGAAGATACTGGGGCAGACTTGGACTGAAGATGTCAGGAAGTATATCAGAGAAATGAGTTTGGAGGTCATTTCCAGAGTCCAGGTGTTGGCTTAAATCAAAGCGGTGAAAGGAGAGTAAAAAGAAGTAGATGTATTTGAGATTTGTTGTGATAATAGGAACCATAGAACTCACAGATGAAGTATATGTGGGAGACAAGGGAAAGGGAGAGGTTTCTGACCTGAATGAAATGAAATACCATTTACTGAGCTGGAAAGATAGGATTGACAAAGCTGGGTGGCTTTCAAGAGAATCAAGAGTTTGATGGAGAGTATGCTACGTTTGAGATGCCTGAGAGACATCGAGAGAGAGAGAGAGAGAGAGAGAGAGAGAGAGAGAGAGAGAGAGAAGAGACAGAGACAGAGACAGAGACAGAGGTTGAGTTACTAATTACATTTGCAGGTCTGGAGCCTATTAGAAATGTGATTTATCAGCATATATTAATGGTACTTTAAAAAATGTCAGAGGAACTCTGTATTTTAGAAGTTGAAGAGAATAAGACTCTATAGAAACAGCCAAAGTAGAAGGGAAACTAGATGTGTAATGTACTAGAGGTCAAGAGAGGAGAATGGTCAGCTGAGGAGTATGCAGCTGTTGAGCAATGAGCATGAGAACAAGCAAAGAGATTATTCAATTGCATGCTACCAGGGCCACTGGAGGCTTTAACCAGGCAGTTTCAGGAATATCTAGATGCTGAAGTTAGATCAGAGAACATGGGAGAAGTAAAACATTTTGAGACAGCACAAGCAGACAACTCTCTTTGGGAGTTTTGGAGAGTACATAAAAATAAAATTCAAGAGAAGGAGACAGATTTGGGGGAAGGAGATGAAGGCGAGATATGAACTAAGTTTCAGGTATGATGAGCTTCATTCAGGTAGCTACAGAGTATCCAAGTGAAAATATTTTACAGAGGCTGAATTATGACTCCAGAGAGACCCTGAAAATCATCGTTGTGCAGCCCAAGTTGGGATAAGAATCTCTACTCCAGATGCCCTTTTGACATTACCCTGTTTGCTCCTACAGTCTATGCTCAAGGTCCTGACATAAAAAGGAAGATCTGACACAAAACCCCTTTTCCAGGCATAAGTCCTGGACTACTCTGCTCAGCTAGCAACCACTGGCTCTATCTTCTCTCTAGAATCTATAAGCTACCTCAGTCCCTTACCTTGCCCTTTGGCTTTTTTTTCTGCAAGCTAACTTTCTACAAGTAGCATTTCTGGACCACAGTATGTTTTGATCTGATGGGTCAGAGGCAGCTGTGCACCCTCTTAGGGAACCACTGGACATTGGAATGGGGTGTGCTGTGTTTCTCTGTTCTTGCTCTAAATGGCACATCACTTCTGCTTGGTTGCTGTAGCCTTTGCTAAATAAATTAGAAACTTAATATTTCCTGGGATCGGTTAGTGTGGTCTGTTGGGCCATCTGTGGCCCAAGACTTTCCTTCAATATTAGGGAGAGGAGAGAAGTTATGAAAGTCAAAGGAGGTGGGCAGACTTTTGAAAGTGGAACCTATTATATATGACTGCTGAGTTTTCTCAGCACTTTCGTGAAAACTGGTTTAATAAAGATTCCTCATGAGAAGTGCTTTCTCATGAAAGTAGCATACAAGTATATTTATAGGCTTATTTTCCTTTTTTCAAAATAGCTTTAGCATACACCTACTCAAATAAGCTACCAGTTTC